CGGATTTGTTATTTCCGAATTTTATAATGTGATTGGCATTAAAAACACGCTCACCTTCAACGAAATTTCCTTTCCGAGGCTTTATGTCAGCCCAATCACATATTGTGTCAATACTTATCATTCTATCGTAATTTAAAAACTTGTATGGTACACTATAGGAACTACGATAAATTTTCCCTAATCGGCGCCATGTTTTTAGGCTCCTCCCATTTGACGGATCCCAATACCTGGTGTATTCCGGATAGCGATGTTATCCTGTAAAACATGCATTTAGACGCGTAATAACTATGAGATTAAATTTTAAATAAAGGTAACGTAAACTAACTGTAATGTAAATTTCAAGATGTACACTTTAAAAAAAAAAAATTAAGCACCTCAGTTTATAGTTAGTTTAGGTTGCTCAAATTCTCTCTAGTGATATAATTATATCGAATCCATTATAAACATTAATCACAACAATGCCTGGTTCTGCATCCCCGAAGTTACTCGGGTATACATATTTTACAGAATAACACTGTGCTCGGGTATGATTTACGTAAACGCGATAATGGGCATGGTCTGAACTGCAGAAAGGTATATTTTACAAAATCTTTTCCGGGTATAAGTATACCATATGGATATACCCAAATATAATGAACCGGGAATACTGCACATCATCGTTGTGTACGTATACAGTAAGAACTTTCACCAAGTAGGGGCCAACTCTATCGTATAATATAAGAACCTATTTCAAATATATCAAATTTTATACCTTAAAATTTTGTTAAAATGCTTATTAATTNCTGAGAAGGTGTCCTACCAACCTATCTCGTCCATTTTTTTTTTACTTCCATAGAGTCCTCTGTTCTCCCATTCTTTCTAATACCTCTTCATTTCTATCCACGGTATCCCCATTATTCGCTTGTAACACGCATTTCGAACGCCTACCGTCCATGTTTCGCACCCATACATTGCCGCGCACCAAACATATACTTTTAACAACCTTTTACGAATTTCTAAATTAAAAGTTCGCGAGCATAGAAATGACTTCTAATTATTGAACGCGACTCGACCTTGCGCTAACCTCTGCTTTATATCCCTACTACTCCTTCCGCCCTGACTTATCTGACTTCCTAGATACCTAAAATCAGCCACATCTTCTACTTTTTCGTCTGCTACCTTTATATTCGCTCTTTCTCTACTTTTTCTTTTTTTTTTAATTTTACTTGTTTGTTTCTAACCAAATTAACATTTTTTGAATTGAAATTAATCGCTTTGTTGTACCTGAAATTTATTAACTTCAATCATAAGGAAACTTTGGTAATGGGTTTTATTGTGGATTTCAACATATTTTGTAATTTGAAGGTCACAATAGCATTGCTATATAGTTTTGAGAAAGTCAATTATGGATAGTAATAACAATATGATTTGACGAAAACATCATAACGTTCGTTTGTTTGTTTAAACAAAAAGTCTGAAAAAAATAAATTTGGGAATTTCTTGAAAAATATTTAATTATTATTTTATACTGGTTTTATATACATATATACTTTCGTTTGCTATTACACTGATCATAGGCATACGTATGCGTTCCAGTTTGCATCGCGAATTATAATTAAATTTTTTCGAGTCTGTAGGGGGGCAGCTGCCGCCCCCTTGCTTCTTCTTCTTGACGTCCTTGATATCTACTACACATAAAATTAGCCAAAGAATGCTGAAATATGTAAGTATTCGCCATCCAAAGTCGCGCTCGATGCGGATGTAGTTTCTAGTCCTTACTGCACAAAGAAAAAGTGTGCTACCACAGCCCCACTCGTCCATATTATATTATTTTTAATATAATAATAATATTTTTGCTATTTTTTGGACCATTTCCACTCTCGTCACATTTCGTTATGCAAATCCCCTCCCTCTTGTTACGTCACGCTGACAGTTGTATGTTCGCTAGTGATTGATTTAAGATCATATATTATTAATAATATAATCATTTTAAAATTACAATTTTAAAATAATATTTGTTTAAACACAAAAAAACACAGAAATGTGTACTGACTAACTCCCCTTCCCTCCATTGTTACACTTCCCGTGGCGCTATCCCAAGCCCCCCTCTCCACTCGCGGCGTGACGTAATATATGAACGACTCTACAGGCCCGTATCAGATTTTTTTAGATACACTGGAACCTACTATTTTACATAAAATTAACATGTACTTTGAAGGAAAAATTAGACTAATTGTAAAAAAGTGTGAAACTTATTTTAAGACAGCCTATTATATTTCGAGAAAACTTTTTTGGGATGTTTTAGAAAAATATAACTAAACGAAATAAACGAAAATTAGGCACAGTAGAAAGATGGAATTAGCCTGAAAAGAACTCTAAGAAAAAAGTTATATAGCTGGAAATTGGACTAATTTTTACATGAGTCTATCCAATGGAATATCAGGAATTGTACTTTTTTTAGGTATTCTTTTATGCTATTTGGAATGTCTCGATTAGCTTTGTTGCAATTATTGGTAAAGTTTTCCTACAAATTTGTGACGTATTGTCGGGGCTTTTAAACAGTTAATTCAATTTATTTTTTATTTATCTAGCTTTCTTGTGTTCCATGCCTGAAATCCCTACAATTACCATAATATTAATACGTAAGTAATACAAAAGTTGTTAAGTTGTTATATCGCAAATCCCACTCGACACCTTTATAAGAGACAATATCTCGAACAAATTGATAATAATGACGAGTAGGTGTTAGTTAAATTAAGAAAAGAAAAGATGATCTTTATATTATTCGAATTCGCTTGAAATTTCCAGACAGTTTTCAAAATTTAAAATAGACTACCTGAAAAGTGCAAGATGAGACAAATGTTAATCATAATACCAATACTACTGATTAATATTTCTCCTTTTACCACTGGTTTCAAATTTTTAGGCTTGTTCCCTTTGCCCATTCGGAGTAATTTTTTAATGTACGAAACGATTTTCAAAGGCTTAGCAGACAGAGGTCATGAGATAGATGTATTAAGTCACTATCCTCAAAAAACTCCAGTTAAAAAGTAAGTCTCTATATTGCTTAATTTGTTTAAAACGCTTACTAATTACATTGATTAAAATTTTATTAGTATAAATGATATTGATATTTCTGGAAGTATTCCTTCGCTTGATAACAATGTTTCAATCGAAAGTGTAAGCAAAATGACCCGTATTGAGTCAGCGTGGTCCGTATTTAGAACACACGGTGTCGACGTTTGTGAAAAAGTTCTTCAACACAGAGCCCTACAGATACTGAGAAAGTCGAAGAAAAAGTACGACGGAATATTGATAGAAGTTTTTGGAACAGATTGTTTATTAGGCTTTTCACATTTGTACAAAGCTCCAGTGATAGGAATCACAAGTAGTATGCACCTTCCTTGGGCAGACGAAAGAATGGGAAATCCTGACAATCCGTCTTATGTTTCAAATTATTTTATACCATTTAACAAAAATATGACAATTGGACAAAAAATTGAATTAGCAACAGCTACAGTACTCTCCAAAATAGGGTATATCTCCCTTACCCTTTGCTTCATGGATTTTTATTACGTACTTTACTTGTAGATATCATTTAATTTCAACAATTCCATCGGAGATGAGAGCAAGAGATTTCTTCGGTACTGATTTGCCACCATTAGATCAATTGGCGTTTAATATGAGTTTACTTTTGGTAAACTCGTATTTTGGTTTAAGTGATCCTAGGCCTACAGTACCTGGATTAATAGAAGTAGGAGGGCTTCACATACAAAATCCAAAGAATTTAACACCAGTAAGCACATATAATATCGTACGTAGTTCAGAACTAGTTTACATTTAACTTTCATTATTCACTATATAGGAATTGGCAACTTTAGCAAAATCAGCAAATGGAATAATTTATTTTAGTATGGGCACCGTCGTTAAATTAAGTTCATTTGATAACCAAAAATTACAATCACTCCTTCATGTTTTATCTCAGTTGCCATATACAGTATTGTTTAAAGGTAATGTTCAGGATTTAAGGAGCTTCAAACCAACGGACAACATCCACTTTTCGGAGTGGTTTCCCCAAATTGATATATTATGTCATTCAAAAACGAAACTTTTTATTACACCTGGGGGCCAAATGAGTATTCAAGAAGCGGCCTTTTGCGGAGTACCAATCGTTGGTATCCCTTTCCTACCCCATCAAGTTCTTAATGTACAATTTTTTGAATCTAAAGGAGCAGGAATCGGCATTGAGTACGACGATATCGATGAATTTAAAATCAAACGAGCCATTAAAACTATTACCGATAACAACACGTATCACAAAAATGCAAAGGCATTAGCTAGAGTGTACAACGACAGGCCACTGAGCCCTTTACAGACGGCTCTTTTCTGGATAGAATACGTTATTCGACATAAAGGAGCCTTTCATCTAAGAACAAAAAGTGTCGACCTTATTTGGATGGATTATTATCTTCTGGACGTGGCTTTCATATTTACGATAATTTTTATTGTTCTTCTGTATTTGATGGTAAAACTCTTGCATTTTCTTCAGGATTATTTCGATTACTCAAAACTTCAAATAAAATCCAATGGAAAAGTTAGTACGCATAATAATGTCAAAGCAACTCAATAAATAAAAATTATTTACACATAATTTCGATTTTTTTGAGGAATAAGAACTTAAATTAGTAGGTTAAATGGGAAATTACCTGATAAGAATAAAAAATTAAAAACAATTATACGTTTATTAAAACGGTGTATATTAGTAATTGTTCTACGTGCCGTCACTGGTGTCACTTACTTGAAGCAAAGGTGTTATGTTAGAAAATATACGTATGTATTTTCAAATAAACAATTCAAAATTTTTAAATAAATCGATAAGAAATTGATTATAAAGTGCTCTAGAATTATTATTGTAAACCTTTTAAAAGGTATGGAAAATATTTCATGTTAAATGCCAAAATGATTCGCTCAAAGTTTACTGTCACTTTCAAAAATTGCAAGGTAAGATTAAAAAAAATATTACGTTGATATATAATTTTTAAAGAATCACATTATATACTAATCTAGTGTTTATGTTTAGCGACTATTACCTACTTATTTAAAAATATATTTGAGCAGTTCTATTAATGTAAATAGAAATTATTTAAAAGGTTAGTTTATAACCGTAATTTAGGCAACCCTTTTTGGTGTACTGCATGCAAAAATATTTAAGCATAACTTAAATGCACGTTTTCGCTCCATATACTTATTACTTGTACAGAAATGAAATTTTCCCATGTTATGTACTATTGAAACAGTGGCGTTACCTCATACTTTCATAATTAAGATGAGATTGTATTAAAATTTAATTATATATAGAAAGATGTGTGTTACTTTTACTTTGCAAGCATAGTAACATTTACAATACGGACGTTATAAAGGGTAACTGTAAATTTTTAAATAAAGGAAGTTGTTTTAAACGTGCTTTCCGGCTAACAATAGCAACTAGTAGGAAATATTCTTGTAACAAGTCGTAATTTATTACCGGTAAAAATTACGGATATATTTTAGATTGTAACCCAAACATTTTTAATAAATTCGATGAGTACAGATTCTTCCCAACCTTCGTTTGAGGAAATTCGTAAATATTTATGGGGTTTTGGGAAAGGAAACGTAAATTTAAGTAAAAATGAGGATACTGGTATAGCAACTCTTGTACTTAATAATCCCGAAAAAAGAAACGCCATTAGTGGTAAATATTTTGACTTTATTTTACTTACAATTTATTATCTTATTTGATGGAATAAATACAAATGGGGAAATGGAGACAAAAATGAATATTTCAGGCCAGATGATGGTACACCTCAGGGACTGCATTGAAGAGCTTGAAAAGTGGAAATCGGGAAAGGCTGTTATTTTACAGGGACATAACAATATTTTTTGTTCGGGGGCAGATTTAGATTTTGTTAGGGCAGCGGGTACCAAACAGGGTGCCAGTTATATGAGCACGTGGATGCAAGATACCTTAAATCGTCTTCAGCGTCTCCCTCTAATTAGCGTTTCATTGTTGGAAGGATTTGCTATAGGGGGTGGTGCTGAAGTGGCGGTTTCATGTGACTATATTGTAGTTGCTAACAATGCTAAATTCGGTTTTGTTCATGCTAAGATGGGATTAGTTCCCGTCTGGGGTGGAACTACAAGGTAAGTTGTTTTGTTCCTTTTTCCAAACCTTCCGAAGTTTCTATAAATGTCAAATTTATCTTAAGACGTACTATATAATAGTACGATAAATATCAGTCATGGACATAGCATCACAGTAAAAAAAGTTTCAGTGGCATAGCCTCGTGGGGATTAAGGGGATTTAAACCTCACTCCCCATCGACTAGAAAGTTTTTTTTATGTTGCCCTCTGAGGATTGCGAAAAACAAATGTAATGATCATCTTGAATGTGAGATTGGACTTTCATTTCCTGCCTTTTATGTAGATAACTCACAAGAATTTATATTTCATTTCTTTATATTTCTTTTTTGACATATTTAGGTATGTTATTTTTCTTGAATTTCAGCTGTCTTACTTTTATGATAATACCGTATACATTCGTATTAGCAACATTCCTAGCATTGATATACCTATTATTTGTAATAATTGTCATAAATAAAAAACACTGTATTGGGCTCCGTCAAATGGGCATACACCATCTGGTGGCAAAATTTATAACTCGAATGAGGGAAAAATTTACATAGGAACTGTGCACGCAAATTGTAAAATTGTTTATTAAAATAATAAAACACGTTAAAAAAGTAAAAATTTTTTTGATGATGGAGTCGACGAAGTTTTCTTCTAAAGTTAAATCAAATAAAAAGTTAATATGTTCAGTGAAAAGCTGCAATAGCACTTCAGACATAGATCTTCACTCTTCACCTACATTAACTACTTTCCAATAAAAACTAACCGTTTTATATATGTAAAAAATATATTCGGAAAATTAGAGAAAAAAGTAAACTAATAGAAGCTTGGATGAAAGCAGTAGGTATCAAAGAAGTGAATTCCGGAATAAAAATTTGTTCACGTCATTTTAATGCACATGATTATATTTCAGCAAGTATTTACCATCAGCCATAACCTTAATATTTAAAACTAGAATCATACTAAAATTATAAAGTGAGAAATTATTTATTCCTGTGTAATTGATTTAACACAATTCTAATGATACGATATAAGTATTTTGAGGTTAAGAACCTACCTGCTGCAATACAACAAAGTTGCAATAATGTGTTTGCAACGTTCTCTTAAATCGGCTTTGCACGTGCAAGTCATTGATATGATATTGCTTAAATCACCCAGAATCACCTCACCAATTATATAACGTGAATCACTTTTTAAATCCGAAGTTTGTAAAAAGTAGGCAGTAAACTTGACGGAATTTGAAGGCTAGCTTCCGGATTTGTTATTTCCGAATTTTATAATGTGATTGGCATTAAAAACACGCTCACCTTCAACGAAATTTCCTTTCCGAGGCTTTATGTCAGCCCAATCACATATTGTGTCAATACTTATCATTCTATCGTAATTTAAAAACTTGTATGGTACACTATAGGAACTACGATAAATTTTCCCTAATCGGCGCCATGTTTTTAGGCTCCTCCCATTTGACGGATCCCAATACCTGGTGTATTCCGGATAGCGATGTTATCCTGTAAAACATGCATTTAGACGCGTAATAACTATGAGATTAAATTTTAAATAAAGGTAACGTAAACTAACTGTAATGTAAATTTCAAGATGTACACTTTAAAAAAAAAAAATTAAGCACCTCAGTTTATAGTTAGTTTAGGTTGCTCAAATTCTCTCTAGTGATATAATTATATCGAATCCATTATAAACATTAATCACAACAATGCCTGGTTCTGCATCCCCGAAGTTACTCGGGTATACATATTTTACAGAATAACACTGTGCTCGGGTATGATTTACGTAAACGCGATAATGGGCATGGTCTGAACTGCAGAAAGGTATATTTTACAAAATCTTTTCCGGGTATAAGTATACCATATGGATATACCCAAATATAATGAACCGGGAATACTGCACATCATCGTTGTGTACGTATACAGTAAGAACTTTCACCAAGTAGGGGCCAACTCTATCGTATAATATAAGAACCTATTTCAAATATATCAAATTTTATACCTTAAAATTTTGTTAAAATGCTTATTAATTTAATTTCCATCTTTTGTTTTTTATTAAACAATTTATATGTACAACACTTATTCTCCCTTGTTCCAAAAAAATGTTGTAATTACCGGTTTGACTGATTTGTTTTCAATAAATAAACTAGACCTTTGAAATTTTGTATTTGTATGTGTTACCGGAAATGTATGAAATCCGTCATTGTATACAATTCCTAGGAAATGTATATGATTCCTAAAATCGCCCGGAAATGTGTGAAATAAATTATATTAGACACATTTCCTAAATAGCAATCGGAAATGTATTACAGGTAATACTAAATAGGCAACAATACGGCAGGCTTTTTGAAGATGTACCTATATCCATTGGTGACGTCATTGTGTGGTTGGTATGACAGACTAAAGTTTCTATAATGCCCCTGCTCTGTGAGACGTTAGAATAATGCGTCGAGATTATCTTTATGTGGTTCAAGCTTTCGCGGTCATCGTTAATGTTGTCGTGGTTGTTCGGGCTTTCTGTCCATCGTCTTTCAAGGTTTATCCTCGACGTTTCGTCGCCACGCACGGACGACATCTTCAGGAGATATTACTGCTGCTGTAGTCAGTAGAAATATGAAGATGTCGTCCACACTTGGCGACGAAACGTCGAGGATAAACCTTGAAAGACGACAGCCAGAAAGCCCGAACAACCACGAGGTTATTTTTGTTTCAGCAAACACGATGACCTTGAATTTTTAGTATGTTGTAGAGGTGATAATGCTAATCATTTTCATATATATATAAGAACCATACAATAACGTCACTAATGCATATATATCTCCAAACCTAACCTAACCAAAAAATAACGTCAAGAATGCATATCCATCAGGCGATCGCACTAGAGCCGCGTAAACACAGATAACTCTGATTCTCAGTTTACTAACATGATATGAAGATTGGAAAAACTTTGGCGGTTGTTGTAGAACAAACAGAATAGCTCAAAACCCCAACACCAAAACACTACACTGTAGTTGTACGAAGCACTTTTCGGTAACAAAACCTAAAAGAGAACTGTTTAAATCCGATGACCGGGAAGCCATGATGAAGTATGAAGATTGGAAAAACTTTGGCGGTTCTTGTAGAACAAACAGAATAGCCAAAATACGACACAGTAGTTGTCCGTAGCACTTTTCTTCCCTGAAGAAGGTAACTTTGTTACCGAAAAATGCTTCGGACAACTACAGTGTCGTCTTTTGGCGTTGGGGTTTTGAGATATTCTGTTTGTTCTATTTACTAACGTGTTTTATTAATTTATTCACAGAAAGCATTAGTTTTATACGTTTCCTAGTACAATATGGGAATTTTATACAATTCCTACGAAATGTATACATTTCATAGGATATGTGTGTATTAAAAAATCTGTGAAACAATATTTTATAGATTTCCTAAGTAGCCTCGGAATTGTATATATTTCCTAGGAATTGTATAAAATTCCTAGATTTCATACATTTCCGGTATGTGTACAATCTAATATCATTATAAATTCAATATGGCATACATTCCAAGATTTATTATTTTTTTTTACACAACGCCCTTATTAGGGTTATGAGTTTAACGGTAAATATTACGAAAATCCTTGTGGGGTCATTTTAAATTTAATACAGAACTCATCTTCACAGTACCTACTATATTGATTTTCAATGGCTGACCAACTACACATGGGTGTTTTCCCGAATTATTGACGTCTTGAACTAATCGCGATGTAGTTAATACTCGCATAACTTTTCAATATCAAAACGTTTTTCAGTTTATACCATTAATAGAAAATGAATTAGAGTGGGCAGGCGCCCCTACGACCTTATGCAACAGCCGCCACTGATAAATGTACGAGATTGAATAATTGAATTATTAATAATTTTGCAGATTGGTAAACAAAATAGGACAAAGGAAGGCGTTAGATATGTTGTTGACAAGCAAGGTCTTTAGAGCTGTTGATTGTCTAAATATAGGTTTGGCAGACGCTATGGTGCCTACAGCAGAATCATTTGTGAAAACTATGGAATGGCTTAGCCCAAGAATTCAACATCATTATACTATTGTTAGGGCCAATAAAACATCGGTCATCAATACCGCTTTGAATTCCTATCAAGACAGCTTAGCCAAAGAAAAGACAATGTTGGTACCATTTTGGGGCGGTCAGCTCAACATTGAAGCTTTAAATAAAAAAATTAAACATGAACCTTCCCAAAACGGCGATTAAATTAAATTATTTGTTGATATTGTTTGTTCTATTGTTATGTTAAATAAATTATAATTTTTCAATACTTTTGTTTCATTAATATGTATTTTTCGTTTTCCTGGAATAATCTAATTTTTTATTATTGATGCAAAAAACACCAATAAACTATTCAACCCCATCGAAAAGCAAAAAATAACGAAAAATAAGCTTTGAAAGAATAAATTTGTTTGGCGGAACGAAGTTCTCTGAAAAGGCTACCCTTCCGTTTATTTCGGGCACCCTGCAGTTCAATTCCCCTCTCTCTCTCAGGACGGCAGCGTCGTATTTTGTACCACTACCTCATTCACGACGCTTTGCGCTCAGCAGAAAGAGCAAAGAGCGGTAGAGTTCGGTTTATATCGCTCAAATGTTGCATGCTTATCACAACGGGACGGGAATGCTAAAATTTTTTCGTTTTTGGCGTGTTAAGAGAAAATAGTTTACTTACGGAACTACTTTCCGTATTATTATATACTTAACGCGCGTAAACTAGCCGATATCTCTATTTAATCAACTAATTCTAATCGAAATGTATTTTATCACGGAGAAAAAATAATTTAGTGTAATTGCTTCGATATCAAGATGGTCCTTTTTGGCCAGACAACGACAGAGCCTGCGCGAAAGATGCTGAATACGCAGGGTGTGACCGGCGTTGAAAATTCTCCCCAACTTGTGCGAATTTTTCCCTTGCGTCATAGTATTGAAGTAAATAATTTCGAATCTGCCGCTGTATGTGACGTCCAAGAAAACAACAAAGGTAACATCTCTTTTATGTTTACTTGCGTATGTAGTACCATTGAATATTAACGCAGTAGGTATTAGCTAATAATATTTTTTATAGTTTAATCATAAACTAACTAATTCAACGACGTTTCTAAACAAAGTACGTACATACTTATTCGCATTTTTACGGTTTTACCTATGCTGTTCATGAAACTATTTAGAAAGATACAAGAAATAAATATCATTTTAATATTAAGTATCAACGTTGCCATTGATATTTTTCAGTTAAATGAATAAAAAAAGACAAAAAGAATGTTCATATATACGTAAATAAGGTCAATGTTAATATCATCATTATTTAGCGTTTATGTATTTCATATTTATAAACATAAGTTTAACTTTTTTTCTTGAAATACTTCGACATTACCATTTTACTGTCATTCTCAAAACAATAAAAAACTTAAATACAATGCGGGCTTACATACATAAGAGATAAAAATAATTATCATCCTGTATAGCATAACTGCCCTTTCATGCCTATTATATAAATGGTTTATGGGTATTAGGCATGTGCTTTCCTCTGTTATAATAAAAAAAAAATATGAAAGCCGAAACGAATTGAGAGAGTGGGTGGTAGGTAGTAATTTTTGAGAAAGAGCAAGGTCGAAAATGCAGCGGTAAAATTTTACTTATTGGAACTGCTGTGCTGTAACAAACTATATTTATAGAAAAAATGTCAAATCTGTACTACTGTTTTAACGTATTACTAATTTTTATGCAAGATTTGCTGTTGTACAATCTGTAAAAAACTTCATCTATACAAATATTATAAAGAGGTAAAATCTGTTTGGTGTTTGGATCTCCGAAATTACTCATCCAATATCAAAAGCTCTTTCACCAATAGATAGAAGGGGTCTTTAGGATAGACATAGGCAATGCATCTATTATTCCTTTAAAATAAAAGGACTTCTATGAAAACGAATTTTGCAATCGTAAGTCGACGAAAAAACATAAAATAAAACAATTTATCATATTTTACAGCAAAAAAAAATACTTTCATGCATGTAAGGTGTTACCTTTGTTATCGTTATTTACTTACATCCATTTATATACAATTATGTAGAATATTATATTTCCTTTATAAATCTGAATCATTTAATGTCGATAAGGTATTTATTTATGTGTAAACACATGCTATCAAATTCAGTGACCCTTTAACTGATATCGAGAGATGTTACGTTTAAAATACGCATATTTATAAGTTTAAAACCTAATTGCTTCTGTACCTACGTCTCTATCTATGTATGTTGCAACACTCTGTACAGTATGCGTTAGAAAATTCGACTACTTATCCCTACCCATAAATATCATAAAAAAATAGTTTTGTACACTATTTCGGTTTAATGTGCTACTGTTTGATGGTAGATAGGTAGCTACTCATAAAAATCGTAAATTGAACCACTTAAGCTCTTACACATGTAAACGATTACCATTCTTATTAATCATGAGTTCCCTTTTGGAGACAAGAAGAGTCACTTCACATCCTGGGCGGCCCCAGTGTCCTTTAAGCTTAAAGCCACATGTTTTTGAACTTGTTTGTTTATTAAGGATCACTATTTCAACATCTTACCTGCTTCTAGTATCTAAGATATGAAAAGTATTGAAAATATCGTAATAAAATAAAGACGAAACTAGTCGAACTAACAATAAATAGTGTTTTATTTATAACATATACAGAAAAGTTAGAAAAATAATAAAAAATCAAGTTATAATGAAGCTTCACAAAGTATCAAAGATCCAAAATGCAAATATGAAAAAATATCTATTTACATCTTGCATTTAAATACTTTTCTGAGCTTTCTATTTGTAAAGTGCAAGCTTCACAAAGTTTGAAAGATCTCTATCAATTATATTAAATGAAAACTAAAAACTTTGCTTGATAATTAGATGTAGAATATCTAAATTACATGCACATAACTTTTCTTTACTTATATTGACTAATTTTCGATCGATCCATAATAAACGTGTATATATATATACAAATAATATGTATACGTAGTAGTACAATGTTAATGTAAAGTTAATTGTGCGCCATAAATAATTGGGAAGTGGCGACATAATTTTTCCGGTATTAATTAGATAGATAATATAAATGCTTTTGACGAAAAATAATTAAAAGTGTTTAGCAACATTACTCATGAAATTTTTCAAAAGAGATAATAGACTAAATGAAAATATGTCTGCTGGAGGCTTGTAACTGAAAGTTAATTAGAGCGCACCTCAGATGTTTTAATAGGTATTCATTAAGATTTATTTATTTATTTAGCGGAAATAATGTTTCTTGTTAACATTGCAACATTATTGGAGAAGGAATATACCTAGGTATGTTGTTATAAACTGTTATTAGTTACATACGTATTACATATTATTACACTCCAAAATATGCATTTGTTCTTATTTAAATAAATATAAAACAGTGAGTTTCCGAATCATAAAAATCCGACTTCGGTTCGATGATTTTTATTAATTTATTATTACCATTTTTTCTAATTGTATGTAGGTACATAAATGTGTCATTTTTATATAGTAATCCGTTATAACCACATACGTATGCACACCCTACTATGTTTCTTCCTTAAACGTCTTGTCACGTCTTCAATTTGGTCATACAACTATTCAGGATGCGTACAGTAAATGTATGTATGTTCAGCGGCGGCTTGCCCATTAGAACTACCTAACCCCAGAGTGCCTAATTTTTGTTAATAACAAATTATAAGATACTTAAACATTTACTTAGGTACCTATATGTATAGAATTACATTGTACTGTTGTAATTTCGTTTGTAATTATTATTTTAGAATTGAAACATTTAAAAAATTTAAATTTTCTTATTCATACCTATTACCAAAAATGCTTTACTAGAAGTGCCCGAATCAAGGTTTTATTTAGTTCTCATTCATCAATATGTGGCAGTAATGATAATGTGTTGACAACATATTGTATGTGATTTTGACGAGAATTTGTGCCTTCAGCATATGGCTGCAATTGTAGTCAGTAGATTTCTTCTTTAATAAATGATTTATTACGTCAATTAATGTGCTTAAACGAACAAAACAAGTATTAAATGTAAGCAGAGGATTCTTTTATGTTTTTGGAAACATACGGTCAAAATTCACGTGCCGCCACTGTGTACATATAATGAAGAATGTGAGTACACTTAATTAAAATTAACTTATACTAAAATATATTCGCGATGATTCAGTGACAACTTTTGAAAAAAGGCAACACAGTTATGTAAGTTAATTAAAATTTCTTTTATTAAATTAGGCGAATGCCAATCGTGCCATAAAATGTATTTTGTTGCTGCACTATTACTGTATGCATATGTACAATAAATAAGAGGCATATTTTCTATTAAATTTGTATCGTAGAATACCAAAAATATAGTAACGTTTTGCGTTAGACTTATAGATCTTTTGTAAATAAGTACAGTGTTTTGGTTTGCTTTCAGAAAAAAGTCCTATTTTTATTTCTGGAAACACACCTTACTCTGTTTTATTCACTTAGAGCAGTTGAACGCATTTTTCATTAACTTCATGATTCGTTTATTTAAACTCGGAGTTCGTTGTCCTCTAATGCGTCTTAAAATTATCATTTAGTTATATTTTTAGCGCATTGTAACTTGTAAGGAGCATTTGCTGCATTTCTATTAGAATAAGATAATGAGTTTAGAATTACGATAAACAAACAATTTTAGCTTCGTAATTGCCAAGAAAATAGCTATTTGTCATAATGAAACACAGATGTTTTCCGTAGTACAAACAAAGCACCATACAAAAAACTAATCCGTTTTACCTATTTAAAAATAAGAATAAGTTCAATAGACACCCTGTATATCGATGAGATAAACTATTACAAGTTTAGAGTTACGTATGTATGATAAATAGTCCTTGTAATTTAAGTTTAAATGTACACATGTATTGTAATACAGTAAGTACTACGATAAGCATACGTACACGTTTAAATAATATGCATACATATATATACCAAACCAAGTAAACGTGATGCATGTATTGTTCTGCAATACCGCACTTATACATAAAGGTAGCAGATATAATTATTGTTTTACAACCTACTGAAACCTGGCCAAGTGATCTCATCAAATACAAGACAATACTTAAGTTATTTTACAGAACCGTATTCAAATTATTTTGTTACATTGCAAGAACATTACAAAATCGAAGAAGAAGAAGAAGAATAAAAAAAATCACTAACCATTTCATTATTCAATTACGAAACCCATATCGGGCTTTTACTTACAAATGAGTCGTGATACACAATTGAATTTTTTTTTGTATTGTTATGGAATATCGTGATATAAACAGCGAAAGAATAGGTCTTGTTTTGTTATGATCAAATGCCAATAGAAACTGTGTTATTTCTCAGTTGACTTTAAACCGTCGTTTCAAAGTGTTCACTGTAATCTGAAAAATGAACAGATACCGAATATGTGTGAGAATGAAATACAAAAAATTCAGGTACAAATTTCGGCTTAAAATAAGTATGTCAAATCGAAGGCAAACAAAAATTAATTTTTTTGTTTCTGCAAGTAAGTAACTATAAGCAAGTACATATTTTTTACGCAATTAGCTAAAATCCCAAATTATTATTGTCTACATGCAATAAATACATAAATTATTTCATTACGATAGGACGTTGATTCTAATTTTTGGTGGAGGAACCGGGACCACTAATAATATCTTTCAAATAGGCAGAGATTTAATTTATTTGAAATACTTGTTTTTAAAAATTCAAATATAAAAAAATACCTATTTATATCTTGCATTTAAAACTTTTCCGAATGTATTTTCTATTTTTAAAATGCAAAATACATTTTTTCCGTTAAAAATTTTGCTAGTATCACCAATCAAATATCATAAAAGATTATTATCAATGAAAGTTGCTCACATTGGCCATTGAAGGTAATAGAAGCTTAAAAAATTAACTGAAGAGAGCCCAAAACATTCTAAACTC